GCGGCCTCTCACCCCTGCTGCCGCCAGCCCTGCCCGACCCCCGAACTCCACGCGGAGGTGACTGGCCACTACACTGGCCTTTGGGCCGGGTGCAGCTCGGAAGGTCACCCTCTCGGGGCCTCCCAAGGCCCGGGGCCAGGCAGGTCTGTGCCACAGTGATCTCCAGGGACCTCCAGTGGCCCAGGCGGTTGACAGGACCAGGGCTGGGGGTCCTGGGGTGCAGAATCGCAGGCTGACAGACGTCAGGAGGAAGGTCCCACCCAGGGCCAGAGTCAGACTGCCATTGCAGGTGGCCTCGGGACCAAAGTCCACCCCTGAGGAGGGCAGACAAGCCTGGGGACAGGAGGCGGCCAGGCCAGGCAGCTGGGTCACTGGTGGGAGGCAGAAGCGGGGGCCGCCCCCTGGATGGTAGCAAGGGTCTGCACTGGCCTGGTTCAGGAGGAGCAAGAGGGCCAAGGTCACGGGCATGGTTCCAGCAGAGGCAGGTACCTGGAGAGAAGAGTGCCTGGCTGAGAGCCTCAGGCGCCTTCAGGGGTCTGATTCTGCCCTGCTCCCCGGGCTCCCTGAGGAACCCCGGCATTCCACCCCCAGCCCTGCCCAAGACCCCTCCCAGCTGCTTCCAAGCGAGGAAAATAGTTCCATCTGGGGAGAATTACTGTTTACATAACCCAAAGGGGAAAGAACGCAAGCCAAATCGAGAATTTTGCCTGAACTAATCCATAGCTTAACACCCCAGAGCTATCTGTCAGTCAGTGTCGGGGGGCAGGGGCCCTGGGGAGGGGGCAAGGAGGGGGCAGATGGGGAAACCTAGAGAGGGCACAAGGGGGAGGGGGATTTAGAGATTGATGAAGCCTCTGAGACAGAAAAAGAGGCAGAGATAGAGACACAGATAGAAAGACAGACAGAAGGAGAGGAGGAGACTCAAGTGTAGGGAAGGGCCAGGCAGGGAGAAGGAACCACAAGGAGAGAGGACGGACACAAGGGGAGGCCAGGAGGCCTGGACAGATGGCGGCCAGGCAGCAGAGTCCTCAGGGACTGCGGAGACCAGGTCCCAGGGAGCCTGGGGGCTGGGACAGACAGTGGCAGTTGGGCTCAGAGACACCCGTGGAGCAGGAGGAGAGCAGACAGTGCAGCAGGCCTGACTGGCAGGGAGGGGAGCAGGAGAGGGGAAGGGCCAGGGAGCCCGGGGCCCAGGGATCAGAAGCCAGAGGCCAGGCCCTGACCTGCTGGGATGAGAGTGGAGGCCCTTTCCCATGTAGGGCCCTAACCTTGTTCTCCACACCCTGGCAGGGAGGGGGATTATCCCAAACAAAGGGGCCTCCCTGCCACCCACCCCCCCAGCCTCCAGTTGCCCTTAACCCTTTCCCACCCAGGTGCAAGGCTCAGAG